TCCTATAAAACAGTAAACACTAAAGCTACGTTTCATCACCACAAAACGGTGAGTTTTGTATCCGTTGCTTCTCTGATGCTGGAACGACGCCGTCTCGATCTTCTTCTTCATTTGGGCGCCTCTGTTTCAAGTTCAAAGCTGATCCTGTTCTTCATTCATCTCCAGGCAATGCAACTAGTGGAGGAGTTGATTCCTGCTCATCTTCACTCCTTTTCACCCTCCCACAAGCTGGCGAGTATAGATTATATACTCCCAGCTTGGACAATAACATGGAGAATCGTTCAATCGACAAATTCTTCGTGAAGATGTTAGCCAATTGAAACTCTGTAGGAACATAATGGAGGGAAATCAAACCTAATAGCACTCGTTCTCTGATGACATGGCAATCCACTTCTATATGTTTCGTCCTCTCATGGAAGACAGGATTTTCCGCAATGTGGATTGCCGATTGGTTGTCACAGTAGACATGAGCAGGTTGTGAATGTGTAATTCCAAACTCTGAAAGTAGTCTGATTAGCCACTGTACCTCACAAATGAGACTTGCCAACACTCTGTACTCTGCTTCAGAAGATGAGCGTGACACAGTACTTTGCTTTTTGCTTTTCCAACTGATTAAGCCTGATCCCAGGAATGTACAGTAGCCTGTGATAGATTTTCTTGAGTCAGGGCAGGTTGCCCAATCTGAATCACTGTATCCTCTTAGTTGTAAACTGGAATCACATGAATACAGTAATCCTTGACCTAGTGCCAATTTCAAATAACGTAGAACTCTCTCTAATGCCCGAAGATGTAATGTGGTTGGCTTATCTTGAAATTGGCAAAGTTGTTGCACTGCAAATGTGATGTCAGGTCTGGTTGTGGTCAAGTATTGAAGCTGTCCAACCAGATGCCTGTAACCACTGATGTCATCTAATGGCTTCCCTCCTTCTGATGAGAGAACCTCTTTAACAAAAATTGGTGTTGGTGCAGGTTTACATGAATCAAATCCTGCTTCCTTAAGTACATCAAGACAGTACTTTCTTTGTGAAATTGTGATTCCTTGATTCCCTCATGTCACTTCAAGACCAAGGAAATAGCTCAATTCACCAAGATCCTTCATTTTGAACTCTCCATGAAGTATGCTTTTTCACTGCATTAATTGACTCCAAACTGACACTCCCCAATACAATGTCATCCACATAGACAATTAGGACCACCAGCTCATTCAAAACAAGTGCAGTAAAGATAGAGTAATCACTTACTGATTGTTTAAATCCATGTTTGAGCAAGGCTTCTGTTAATTTTGCATACCACTACCTACTTGCTTGCTTCAAACCATAGATAGATTTCTTCAGTCTACAAACTTTCCCTTTGAACTCAGGATCTTCATCCATACCTGGTGGCAACATCATATACACTTCTTCAGTGAGGTCTCCATTCAAGAAGGCATTGCTTACATCCATCTGATGTAGATGCCAACCCTTAACTGCAGCAACTGAGATTAGAGCCTTCACTGATGCCATTTTTGCCACAAGAGAGAAAGTATCACAATAGTCTATCCCATATACTTGGGTGTACCCTTTTGCCACAAGCCTAGCTTTGAACCTTTCTACTTCTCCATCTGACTTCAGTTTAATTCTGTAAACCCACTTACATCCAATAGGTCTTTTGTTAGGTGGCAGTTCTACAATATCCCAGGTTTCATTTTCAATCAATGCTCTGATCTCTTCAGTCATGGCATTGTTCCATCTAGGATCCTGGGATGCTTGCAGATAGGTACTTGGCCTCCCTCAGTACTCAGAATGTTAACAAAACATTGATGATTTGACTTGAGGTGAGTATAAGAGAGAGCTTGATGGATGGGATATTCTACTTCATAATCATCATGCCAAGCTGGTGGTTTAATGTTTCTGAGGGATTTTCTGAGAGGAATTGGTGGATCCTCATGAGGAAAAGGAGAAGAAGATGGAGAAAAGGATAGTGGAGAAGGAATGGAACCTGACTGAGAACTGTTCTCATCAGGGGAACCAGCAGGATGTGTGATAGAAGAAATAGGAGTAGTGAGTGTCCCCTCCTCAGACTGCTGGTGATTTGAATGAGAAGAAGGAGAAGTTGGTGAAGAAGGGAAAAGAGAGGGATGATCTGCATCATGAGGAGGCATATCAGGTGGAGAAAAGGAGTGTGTGGGGTTGGAAGAAGAAGTAGGTGAAGTAGGATACTTGTAGGGTAGAATTTGTTCATAGAACACAACATCTCTAGAGATGAACACACGTCTGGTGTCAAGATCCAATAGTTTGTAACCTTTAATTCCACTGGGGATACCCAAAAAAATGCATTTCTTGGCTCTAGGAGCAAATTTGGTTCGAGCTGGACCAGCTGTTGCAGCATAGGCAAGACAGCCAAAAACTCTAAGGCTGTTATAATCAGGAGGTACCTGATATAGAATCTCAAAAGGGGTTTTGTTTTCTAGGACTGGGGTGGGAGTTCTATTGATGAGGTAAGCAGCATGAAGTATGAAATCACTCCAGTATAGAAGAGGTAAGCCAGATTGAAACTTCAAAGCTCTGGCAACATTCAGAAGGTGCTGATGTTTCCTCTCAACCCTCCCATTCTGCTGAGCAGTGTACACCACACTCATCTGGTGTATAATTCCATGTGTTTGATAAAAATCATTCATATGGAATTCCATTCCTTGATCAGTTCTTATGACCTGAATTGATTTCTGAAACTGGTTCTTTACCATGACACAAAAAGACTGCAGAATGGTTCTAGCTTCATCTTTAGATTTCATAAGGTAAGTCCACACACATCTACTGTGATCATCAAGGATAGTTAAGAAATAACTGAAACCATTGTAGGAAACTGTTTGCAATGGCCCCCAAATATCAACATGAATCAAACCAAACACAATGGGATTCTTAGAAGAACTGACAGGAAAGGGAAGGCGTTTCTGTTTTGCCAAATGGCAGACTTCACAATGAACCATCTTAGAAGGAATTACATTGGAAGACTGTCTACTAATAACTTCAATTCTAGAGACATGTGGATGTCCTAATCTGGCATGCCAGATATCAAATTCTTGAGGCTGAAGATTTTGGGCTGGTGAAGCAAGACACTTGGGAGAGGAAGAAGTAGACTGTGTCTTGGCAAAGAGGTAAAGCCCCTTATCCACTTGAGCTAAACCAATCCTCCTCTGAGTAATAAGGTCATGTATCACACAGTAAGAGGATTGAAAAGTCAGTGAGACTGGGTTTGTTTTGGTTAACTTGCTAACTGACACAAGGTTGTAACTGAAAGAGGGAACAAACAGAACTTGGGATAGAAAAAGGCCAGAAGGAAGCTTGACAATTCCTATGTGTGTGGCCTTAACTTGTGATCCAGTAGATAAACTCACAAAGACACCCTCTAAGGGCTTATACTTAAGGTAGTATCTTAGATCACAAACAATGTGATCTGTGGCACCTGTATCAAGTATCCACAGGTGTCCACCAGAAGAAGCTATCAGGGCAGAAAGAGCAGTGATACCTGAGCTTGAAGGAAAGTAATTGAGTTGTGGAGAAGGCCTTGTCACTGAGTTGGCAGCATGAACAGATGGTGAGGATGGTGGTGATGGTGAAGGTGATGGAGTCTTGGAGAGGAGGAATTTCAATTTCTCCATCTGTTCCACTGTAAACAGGTTTGCTAATCCACCCCTTGTGTCATGAGGAATGGAAGCTGATTCTTCCAGATGAGTGGCTTCAACTGAGCCTGCAAACCCTGATTCAGATGCTGCTTCTCGTGCCTTTTTGTTTTCAGCTTGTAGCAATCTCTGATGAGATGACCTTCCTTCTTGCAGTAACTGCATAGCTTCTTCCCATCTTGTTGTTGTTGCTGAGTTCTTCCCTTAGCTTGATATTGTCCACCACCATGAGATCCAGTTGCAGCTAGAGCTAAAGCATCAGTTTCAGAGTTCCTATTCATGACCTTCAGCTGTCGCTCTAGTTGCAAAATTTGCTTAAAGACAATATCAATGCTAGGTAAGACAGGTAGCATCAAAACTTGAGTCCTTGCTGACTGGTACACCCCATTCAAACCCTGAAGAAACTTAATGATAAAATCATTGTCCTGGTACCTTTTCAAGGTCTCATATGGTCCAGGAACGCAAGGGCATGTTGCAATGGGTCTGTATCTCTTGTATTCTTCCCAAACCACGGTAAGAGCAGTAAAGTATTGACTCACAGACTGGTCTCCTTGAACACATTTAGTCAATTGGGTATCAAGATCGTAAACCCTAATGTTATCTTCCTGACTAAATCTATTTTTCAGGTTATCCCACACATCTTTAGCTACAGCTAGCCTCATAACGCTATTTGCAATATCATCAGACAAGGAGTTGTAGATCCAGCAACGAATAGTGCCATTACAGCGAGTCCAGGACTGTAATGAGTATCGGTTACCTGGGGAACTGGGATTCTACCGTCGATGAACTGGGTCTTGTTCTTAGTCTCAAGAGCCAGCCACATAACTTCACTCCATGTATGGTAATTTCCATCTACTAGCTTCAGTGTGATGATGGTGGAAAGAGCTCCATCTTGAGGTGGTAGGTAGTAAGGATTGAGATATGGGTCTTCATACTGACCCATAATGGACTTCAGTCGTTCAGCTGAGTCAGTGCTGCTGGGGGTATTTCCAGCATCAGTAGATGCAACAGTGGAATCACCCATGACAGCAACAACGATGAAGGCAGAGTAAGAAAATCAAAGAAGAAAGGGGAAAGAGGAAACGAAACCCTAAAGTTAGGGCAAAATTGGATCTAGCGTGCTGAGCAGCGCTCTGATACCATGAGAAACTTTCTACTAGACAGAGAAAGCGATAGGAGCAGATTTGGGGAAGATGCTCGTTGTGAGCTATTTCCATTTGACAGCAGCAAATATACAGGGGATTACTTACAGTTTCACTAGCCGTTAAAAGAGAAAAACTAACTAACCAATAGAAGCTGTACAAGTGTCCTATAAAACAGTAAACACTAAAGCTACGTTTCATCACCACAAAACGGTGAGTTTTGTATCCGTTGCTTCTCTGATGCTGGAACGACGCCGTCTCGGTCTTCTTCTTCATTTGGGCGCCTCTGTTTCAAGTTCAAAGCTGATCCTGTTCTTCGTTCATCTCCAGGCAATGCAACTAGTGGAGGAGTTGATTCCTGCTCATCTTCACTCCTTTTCAATGCAAACCCAAAATCGACTAGATCTTACCTTCGTCGGCACTGTCGTCGCCGGCGTCAGAGACCCTGATCTTGCCATCGTCGTCGTTGTTCTTTTTCTGATTGTTGTCGTTACCACAAAGAAGAGAGAGAGAGGGAGGGAGCACATCAGAAGGGGTCAAAGAATGGAGAAAGGAAAAATAAGGGGAGAGGTTATGAGATAGGAGGAGAATCACGACCACCATCGGATTGTTGTGCTCTGACCGCCTTTGCCGGCATTGAGCCTTATCTTTTCATCGACTGTTTTCTGCCGGAGAGAAGAGAGGACATGAAGAGAGCGAGAGTGAAGAGAGGGGGTGAGCGGCGCTTAGGTTAGAAAAATGATATAAGGTTTTGGTTTTTGGCTTAGAGAGAGTTAAATACACTCGGGGCCAAAAGGACTAAACTACCCCTTTGAGTTTTACAAAAATTATGCCAATTGCCACCGCCTCTTCCATTATAAACATAAAAAATAAAACCCTTCAACAATTCAAACCAACGACCTAACAATCGTGTTAATTTTACAATCAACGATTTAAATCATTAGGCTGGGCGCCTACCACTTATTCAGGTATTGACTTCAATCGATGAAAACTTTAATTAATTTGAATATTTAACATAAAAAATCCTTAATACGAAACTTTGATGTCAATAGACTATGATAGCATTCTCGTATTAAGTCTCAAATTGGTTTCCAAAGGATCTAAAATCCGTTTCACCATTTTTATTATCAAACTTTAAGACGTATCAATAGGACGTGTTGGGTTCCTTTTTACTAAAATCTTTTCTCATTAAGAACGAACTACGTGGACTTTGATCCTGACTACTCGGGTACATAGGCAACCAATTCGATCGAGTTCAACTAATCAAATTTTCTCCTCTTAAATCATAAATACCAAATTGCATCTCTTAATTATAAAATCAATTATTATATGAATCACGTATGAATAGATACATGTTAAGATCCCCTTTCTGAAACCTATCAACTTAATCAAACTATGTTGACTTTGATCCCGACTACTCGAGTACGTAAACAACCAATAGGTTCGAGTCCAAATAATCCAAAACTATTTCTTTACTTTTGTGATTTACGTCAATAGACTATGATCAAATTATGTATTAATAAATACCTAATTAATCTAATCTTATAATTAAGCCAAATAATAATACACCCAACCCTTTAAAACTTATCGATATAAGTAGTACCCATTTGGGGCGTTGTAGGGTGTAAATAAACTTCTCCACACGTAACCGTACTCCCGTACCCATAATCTCTAAATTCACAGATCAAATTTTGGTTTCGACCCTAAGGTTGAAACCGGACCAATTAGTGTTCGACCCACTACAACTAAGGTCGATGGAAACTCCGAGCAATTCGCGACGGATCCCCCGATCCCGAGGGGCGGTTGCGATAGGAGGCAATGCCAATGACCCCCTTAAAATGCCCAAGTACATACCTTAATAGACGAAAATGACAAGTAGAGACTACTTAACTGTGAAACCCTTATTTCGCCATCCTAGCCCTAAATCCAGTTCACTCAAGATATAATTGAAGCAATCGACGACGACGACTCTCCAAAGAATTGTCGAACCAAAGCATTTCCCCATCGTCGAGCTCTTTCTTCCATAATCTCCCTAGGAATCCGTATCATCCCATTCACAATCTCCGGCTCCATGAAATCAAGCTTATTATCATAGTGTATCTCGAATAGTGACGCCCAAAATCGCAGCGCACCGAAGAAGAAGTAGAACTTGTCGAGTTCATTTGAGTTAAATCGAACAAACAGATTGAGAGAAAGAAAAGGAAAAGAAATCGGCGACGAGGAGCGCCTACCTGTAGCGAAGCCTCGTCGGCGATCATCGTCCGACTAAGAGAAGTGAACCACTAGTTTGCTAGAGAACTAATAAAGAGGATATTTCTCCTAGCAAAATAAAATTACTTTAATGACGAAAAAGATTGGGTGACCAACATTAAATTAAAGAAAGGCGACAGACAACAACATCTAGAAGCAAAAATGGAATGTCGACAAAGTAGATAAAAAAAGTGTGACAACGGTCTTGATCGATCAATAATCAAATCTTCCTACTTTGCACTCAACACGGAACAAGGGGTCAGTTTAATCTTTGTTGATACTCGATTCAATTTTATTAAACTATTCATTTGTAGATTAAAAAATTGCGTGACAACCATCAATAATAAAATCTTCCTACTTTGTACTCCGAAAGAACAATTTGGCCTTTGCCACATTAAATTTATTTTGCTTAAACTATTTCTTTGTAAGAATAAAAATCATTCATCGATTAGACGATTACTCCACACGAGATTAACTTACTTTCATTCAGTAGTCGAATGAGTTATATTTAGTACATCTTTTAAGTCAATTTAAGGGTTTATTGCTCCATTTTAGCCTATGTTTCTCAATCTGTTTCTTTAGACGAAGTAGAAATAATCTAATTAGTAATTGCTCATCGTATCATGGTCACTTCTTCAACTTCTCATGTTAGTGCATGCAGTATATTATGGAAACTTGCAAAGCATACTTTCAAGTGATGTTTTACTTCAGTGACCATATTGTTAGTGAAAATAGTTATGTGATCGATTTGACAATTATCTCATACATAAGTGATCATTGTGTGATTTCACCCTCTATATATCCACTACCGATCGGATTCCGACATAAGCTGGGATATCTCGATCTCCTGCGTCTAGCTCTGGTCTGTGGGTGGTCGAAGTCGAAGGGCGGGGTAAAAGAAGGGATGACTAGCGCAATCGATACCCTTCACAGCAATTAATCTCTATTTTGATGAACCGACGAGATAAGACCGGCGGCAAAAGTTTGTTCTGTGTCCGGTAGTTCCGCCTACGGTCAGCCGTCGTCGGCAGGTACGCAAAGCTTCTGTCCCGATAGAATTAAATGTATTTTTCTATGATCCAGCTCTCTTCTGAAAAGATCGACTATTGAGTGCCATTGGGACCTGGACTCCTTCGTTCTCGCCTTGATGTCTGCTTGGAATTTGCGTTCGGTTCGCCGATAGATCACAATAAACTTAATTATTCCAACTCCTTGTGGTATATTACTATTTTGATGTTGTCCAGTGAGCCTCATCTCGCTGATTCGGTCTCTTGTCAGGCATATTTCAGTAGACTTTTTGACGGTAGGTTTCGCCCTGTAGGTCTAGGGTTTAACTTAGGTTGCATGAAGGTCCTAATCGCTATATCTGGCAAAACTGATTCGTTGCAGCTTCTTAAAGGTTTAGAAATAGCTCACCATATTACTGTGGCAGTTGTTTCGGATTTGCCATGATGTAATTTGATTACTCTTTTGGAAGAGAGAATCCAGAAATTTTGCTGGGTTTGTTGGATAATTAATTTGCCAAAGGAAGCTATAGGTGGGTAGAGCTTGCCATTTTTTCGGGTGTAAAGAAAAAAAAAGGCTCAGAGGCATCACTACTCGTCCATGTATATTTGTTTTGATATGCTCCAGGAATCCTCATTTCATCCATGTTCCCTTGCTCTTTCATGGCCCATACATGCCAAGCACGATTATGTGACTATTTTTTGTTCCCTAAATACAGGTCATGTTGTAAAGACTTATTGGGCATGGTTTCTTCAAAATCCTTTCCCCATAGACATTACAGCTTTTCCTCTAGGAAAAGGCTAAAAGTTTCAAGTTTCGAACATCATGAGACAGGTTCTCAGACCTGTATTGGAGACTTTGATGATGTTTCCACGGTAATGCATTCGGACTCGAAAGAATGCTTGCTTCATGGGTAATGCATCTTTGATCTCCTTTCTCCCCCCTGTTGTTCTTGTAATGGTATTTTTGTTAGACTTTAAATGGTGTCCATTTCAATCTACAATGGCAGGTGCCATCATTGTGTTTATGCGTCTTCATCTTGCTATAATATGCTGGAAGACACAAATCCTGCCTTAGAGATGGATTGCGAGTTGAATGGAGAAGGCAGTGATGTTCCAGTTACTTCTAATGATGCTGGTGCCAGTAAATCGGTTTACCCACTGCCTGCATTTGTGACTGGCTGGATGTATGTTAATGAGCTTAACCAAATGTGTGGTCCTTATATTGATGCACAGTTGCACGAGGGTCTGTCATCTGGTTTTCTTCCTGGGGACCTTCAAGTGTTTCCTGTACTAAACCAAAGAATAACGAATCCTGTTCCCCTGAGGTACTTTCAACAGTTCCCAGACCATGTCCAATCGGGTTTCATGTACCTTGGCTCTGGCATCTCCAATGCACTTTTGCCTATGCCTGATTCTGCCTCAGCAACTCACGGACGAGAAGGCCATGGTTGGAGTTTTTCCTTGGCTTCTAACTCACAAAAAAAGCATGGAAAAGGAGAGTCTGTTCCAGTATTCCCATATTCTGAATTGGTAGTTGTTGACTTATTTCTATCCTCCTTTCCCTCGAAAAGCCTCCCTCCTGTTATGTCTTGTCCCTACTCCAGTATTTTTTTCCTGCATGTGATGTTTTTGTCATTCACTTCTTTCAGTCAGAAGACGATTCTTGTTGGTTGTTTGAGGACGATGAGGGAAAGAAACATGGTCCTTATAACCTACTGGAGCTTTATTCCTGGCATTGCTATGGATATCTTCGGGATACGTCGATGGTAAGCAGGACATGTGTTTTATTAAGCGAGAATTGTATGCCTTGCATTCCTGTCATGTTTGTATTTTAGTTTTGAGTAATCGATCAAAATGGTCATAGAGGTTTGGGCCTGTAACAAATTGTTGCAACGTTAAAAAAGTTATAAAAAGGTCATATTTGCGTCAGGATATAGCAAATCATTTTGTCTTTTTCCATCCATATTGTCATCGAAAATGCTCAGTTAGCTTGCTGACTTGCAACAAAAATTAATAAAAATATCATACACCTAAAGAACCCTAAAACTTATCTCTGATCTAGAGCAGCTAACTGGGCATTTTGGATGGAAATATGGATGGAAAGAGACGGAGTGGATATTTGTTATATCATGATATGTACGTGACCATTTTGTTATTGGCTCAAACATATGTGACCATTTTGATCAACTACCCATTTTAGTATTGTGAACCAAAGTTACTGAACTGGCTAGACAGTGGATCAGCATCCATATATCTACTCTCTACGAGTCCTATGTAGATGTAATAAGGATGGGCAGCCTTACATCATGTAGCCATAAGCAGTTGCTGCTTTGTTTCTTTGCAGTTTCTGTTTTTTATGGCATTACGACATGTAAAAGAAAGATTTTAACCTGGTTTTCACTATCTTGAGCTATCACCTCCATGCCTTAAGGCTTATTTTCTCAGACCCATATCCCGATGATCTTGATACATAATACCTGTTATTTAGAAACATGTCTCTGTCTTCGTTAGAGATGTTCAAACTTTTGTCTGTGTTTGTCCTTCAAGTGGGAGATTTGTGTTCTTAGATGTCTGACTCTTGGACTTGCTTCTAAAGTGATGCACTGCCCTTCAACATGATAGTATCTTTATGTTTGCTTTCCTTCTTCTAATCCTTAAAAAAAATTTCTCTTCGTACTACTTGTCGATTTTTATGCCTTTGTGTTTTTCGTCTACATGTTGCCTGAAGTGTTCTTTTGGAATTAATCATTGGGTTCGTTATCTCAGAAAAAGGGAACTGATACTTTTAGGTCCGACTGTTGGCTTCTATCTCACAGATCTTTTACAACCTGCATATCTTTCGGTTGCTTTCTTTCCTAGGCTTGGGTCTAATACTTCGAAAAATTTCTCGCAATACGGCTTGTCCTTTTTTATGCCTTTGTGTTTTTTTCTACTTGTTGCCTGAAGTGTTCTTTTGGAATTAGTCATTGTGTTGCTTATCTCAGAAAAGGGAACTGATAGTCTTAGGTCTGGCTGTTGACCTGTATGAAACAGAACTCTTACAGCATGGATCTTCTGCTATTTTTTCAGTTATGTTACTTGGAAAATTTACTTTAATAGTCAAATCAACTATAACATTTCTAAACTCTATTCTACTTTTTCTGTATTTTTCCTGTTATGTATCGACAGATACATCACACACAGAAAGATGGTGGGCCCTTTCCGCTGCTGTCTGTTCTGGACGCATGGAGAACAGCTAGGGCTGAATCAAGATCTGCACCTAATGTTATGTTGGAAAGTTGTTCTCCAGAGAACTTAACACCAGAAATATCTCAGGAAATTTCCTCTCAGCTGCACTCAGCAATAGTGAAAGCAGCTCGAAGAGTCGTCCTACATGAAATTATCAGTAACAGTATTACGGAGTTTCTTGATGTGAAAAAGACTCGTGGACTTCCAAAGCTGGATATTCAAACTGCTGAAACTCACCCCAGTAAAGGTGAAGTGGTAATGTCTTCACTTGGTACTCTTCCTTTTTAGGTGTGGTTCCTTTTTGTCACAGTGGAAGTAATAATGTTGGCTATTATTTAGCAGTCTGGTTTCAATGATCTGAAGCTAATTCATATTGTTATTGAGTATGATCCTGTGGCTTGCAAGTATTTGACCTCGGAAACATCTGTTGTTGCAATGCAGTTGCCCAAAAACACAAAATCTGTTGGCAGTATGGATAACTTCCAGGTCTCTCACGCTGTTCTTTGTAGAGCTCTTTTCAACTGTTGCATGGAAGTTCTTTGGAATGCTGTTTGTTATGATACAGTAGTAGAGTATTCAGCTTCGTGGAGAAAAAGAAAAATCTGGTCTGGCTCTCGGAATGGATTTCCTTCGGACCTTGATATCTATGGCAAAAAGTTTCAAGCATCAGTCACAGATTTTGTATGTCCTTAGCTTATTCATGTTTTCATTCTCAACATGTTTGTGCTTTTGTTGAATCACTAAAGCTATGATTTGATGGTTTTACAGTTTCTACCCACGGAGGAGATATCTGGTTGCGATGGTGACTGCCCCCCTGGTTTTGAGTTTGTTAGAACCAGAACAGAAAATCAAACTGGAATACCTGATATAAAAGAGCTGATCCTTAAGCCATCAGAAGAGACTATCCCATCGTGCATGGATTGCAACAACGATGACATAAAATGTTTCTCGGAGAGTGTGGAAAATGAACTTCATAAGTCTACTAATGCTTGTTTGGTTGCGTTTGTTGGAACTCTTGTTAAGGAGGAAGTCATTAGAGTAGCTAACATTAGAGAGGATGGAAAAATTGCTGACATTGCTGTAAGAAGTTTTTGGCTCTATGCTTCCCTCATTAATTTTTTCCCCTTTGTTTTGGTTGTACTTTGTTTTAGCAAGTGACCGATGTAGAATCCTTTTCAGATTCATGGCGATGATGAGTTCACCAATCCAGCACTACATGAAGAACAGAGTGACTCCACTGGAATTCCTCTCAGCAATCCTAAATGTGCATCCCTAGCTGTTGCTAACCAGCTTGCTTTAAAGAATACTACATCTAGTTTTCTTGCAAGTACTTTTGGGAAGGCGCATATATGTGGCCTAAATGTTGCTTCTTCACCTACACCACCTGGATCTGAAGATGGTGTTACCACTCTCCTATCACCCTTGTGTAAATTCCGTGTGTCGACATCCAATGAGCCTCGTTCTAGGATTAAGCAATACATTGCCTTGGCATTATGCAGGCAAAAGTTGCATGATAATGCAGTTGGTGAATGGAAAAATTGTTTTTTTGATGATCTTCTCCAGCAGCACTTTCCATCATTTTTGGCTTTTGCGGAAGGGTGTGGGTTTGATGGTGATAAGGTACCTGAATTATTGTCTTTGAATATTCTGGCATATCTGCTTTAATGTGCTTTGCATGCAATTCAAACAGTCGTGCTTAGAAAAGTACTATAAGGCAGGCATGTTAACACAATTTTCTGGTTTCCTGATTTTTGTCCTTGCTTTGGTGAAATACTTCCCTTTTCCTTGCCCATTTTCTATCTTAGGGAGGGGTAGACAATCAAAGTGGGGAATCGCTGAAATTATGTATGTCAAAGTCTGTGGGCGGTTGTTCACCTACTGGTAAGTACACATACTATAGAAAGAAAAAGACGTCTCGTACAAAGCTAGCATCGTCTTTGGAATTGGTGTCTCCAGCCGAATCGCGGGGCCAGCTGTTAGAATCATCTAGAGAGCACATCTCGCTCAAGATTGCTGCAAAGGCTGCAGAAGCTGACCGCTCTGTTTCGAAACAAACCAAGACTGACATATATGAGAGCCAGAAGAAACTGTCTCTTAGTTCTAGGCCTTTGAAAGGCATTGCAGAAGGAAGCAGACGACTCGAACGTTCATCGGCCAGGAAGACTAGTTGTCGCAGAGTGAAGAAAACCACACAGGCAGTTCAAGGTATTCCACTTCCTAAAAGATGCTCCTCTATCACAACATACTTGTGCATGGAACAGCTTGTGACTCTATATAAACAGGTGATGAGTTCACAGATAATGCTCACAAGACCTCCAGGAGTGTTGTGGATTCTCATGATGTTGAGAATGAGACAAATGACAGTAGCTCCACTGCTGGAGTTAAGAATTCTCCTAACCTTAATATTTCCAAGAAAAAACTATGTAAGCAATCCCATGGTAAGAAATGTTAGAGGAGACACCTTCCCTTTAAGAATTTCCATCCCTGATTATTTTTTTGTTACCCCTTCCTGATTATGGATTGTCTTGTTCTTTGTGGAGATACAAAACCATCCAAGCTGAAAAGGAAGCATTTACCCATTGGTACTGGATTGCCAGTACAATGCACCAAGATCGTGAAAACAGAGAATGTCAGTGACAAGCAAGCTCTTCCACACGTTGGATTGGAAAACAAAAAGTCCCGCAGTTTCCAATTGTCTATCACCTGTCCTCCTTCAGATGGATGTGCAAGGTCGTCAATTAATGGTTGGGAATGGCACTTGTGGTCTCTTAACGCAAGTCCTTCAGAAAGAGCTTTTGTCAGGGGACAGTTTGTTCGTTCTAAATGTTCAAGTTCTGAAACTTGTGCATCACAATTCGCTAATGGTAGAGGTCTTTCAGCAAGAACGAATAGGGCAAAGGTCCGGAATCTTCTGGCTGCTGCTGAAGGTGCTGAGCTTTTGAAAGCCACACAGTTGAAGGTGATGAAATTTGTGGTGCGTGCTATAAATCTTGTCTGTCTTTGGTACTCAATGATGTCATATTCTTTTATAGGCAAGAAAAAAGCGGCTGCGTTTTCAACGAAGCAAAATACATGATTGGGGTCTGGTTGCACTGGAACCAATTGACGCAGAGGACTTTGTCATTGAATATGTTGGCGAACTAATTCGTTCACGAGTAAGTTTGAAGTTCTCTTAATTTGGTCGGGTAAATTTTGTTCTTAAATTCTTTTATGCTGATTTGCCTCAATTTTGCCTCCCTTAAACAGATATCTGATATACGTGAAGGACTGTACGAGAAAATGGGAATTGGGAGCAGCTACCTGTTTAGACTGGACGATGATCATGTGGTCAGTGGACCAAGCTTTCTTGGATTAGTTTTTTTTCTTGGTATATTGTCGTGTGGTGTCTCCTTTCTTATTCCTTTATGGACAATTTACCTCCTGTAGTGAATACATATGTGCCTAGGGATTATTTACATGTCCTCTCCCTTGTGAGGACGTTGGAAATATTGTTTTCCGTTTGGCATACATGAACACCTATATAATAATAGAATGAATACATGATGCTGCCATCTTTGCTGTAAGCTTTTGATGCATGGGCTGGGAACTTGGGTTACTGATTGGCTATGGGTTTGCATGGTCTAGTTTCTTAATGTAGAAGAAATCTGATTTCTGGAAAAACATGTGAGGTCCAAACTGAAATGCCTGAGTTCAAGTGATTGTTTTAAAAGCTTTGGTCTAGTTCCATGAGGGTACGCTGCTGTTTCAACTTCATCTTGCATGCTCTTGGTAGTTCCTGTCATTCTAGGTTTTATGTAGTTTCGGTCGGATTTGATTAGTCTATTTGAAATTTGTAAGATTTCTCCAAGCACTTTTAGTCCTGTCCACAGCTGTAAGCTTTTCTATAGGAGGTTGATTCTCTTGAAGAAGTCTGTATCATCAGTCTCCTTTATTTTCACTCAAGTTAAAGTTATGATCCTTTCGCGCTTAGTCAATTTCATTTTTCTTTATCTGCATGTGGCAACTAAACTTCTTATTTTCCTTTTTGTCGTCACTCTTGCAAGAGTTGACCCTTTAAAGTCACTCACGTGTTATACATGCTATGGCAACGAGTTAAATACATCTTTGTTTGCTCTGCAGGTAGATGCTACAAAGTGTGGTGGGATTGCGAGATTTATAAATCATTCTTGTGAGGTAGCCCACTTGAGATCACCTGTCAAATTGTTGTCCTAGTAAAAGCTACATGATGCTTGACACGTAGTGTTTCACTTGTTATTATATGCAGCCCAACTGTTACACCAAGGTTATAAGTGTTGAAGGCCAGAAGAAAATTTTCATATATGCAAAGCGGCATATAGATGCTGGTGAAGAAATTACTTACAATTATAAGTTCCCTTTAGAGGAAAAAAAGATCCCGTGCAACTGTGGCTCTCGAAAGTAAGTTGTTTGTTGAACTTCCCTATGTCTTAGTATCACGCTCCTAAATCCCCCTCCTCCTTTTTTTGTGCGCAATTCTATTTTCTCTTCTTATGGTGTACAATTTATACTGAACTTCTCTCAGATGCCGTGGTTCATTGAATTAGGAATGACTTCAAAATTCTGGTAAGTCTTGCATTCTTGTAAGAAATGAACTTTATGCTCCTTTTAATAATGCTGATACGTGGTGTCTGACTGCAACTTTTCAACTTCTTTCTTCGAAGTTTGTTCTTGGTGGACTGATGCCATGGGATATCATAGGTGCGATCGAATTTCTTTTGCATTTTCCCTTTGTTAAGAATTCCTGTGTCATTCCCCCTAGTCAAAATGTAACTTTAGAGCGTAGTCATTGATTCAATTTTTATAAATGATCCCGGGAGGCTGTCTGATGTTCTCATGGTTTAGGGTTCTTGGTCATAAACATGGTTGGGATGCCTTATTGCGGCAGTAGATTGTTTTACAAGGATGAGATGGAGGTTATAGGGTGGCCAACAGAGCAAACTGTAGTAAGTTTTGGTGCTAAGAAGTAATGATTTTTTTTGGTGATATGCCTATGTTCATGTAGGATCTGGCTTTTTTATTCATTTCCTGTTTGGTAGAGTATTACTCCCTTTGAGTCTTGCCCTTGGGAGAACCCATCTCCCTTTACCAGTTCATTAGAGTGACAAGTCGGTGGTGTTTTATTGTAGCATGAACAGTAAGTAGGGTTGATGCTGATTAGATATGCGTTAATAGGTAAACATGTGTTTTTAAATCAAGTTAGTATCTTTTGATCAGGTGGGAAGGGAAGAACAGTGGTTCCGTCTGTAGAGGGAAGAACACCGTGGTTTTCACATGGTTTTCTGTGTCTTGAATTGGAGAAGAACAGTGGATCATTCCTTCAATTGCCAAAGATGACGCAAGTTATTATGATGTTTCAGGTTCTTCACAAAACAATGGCATCACAAGAGGCTAGTCGATGTGGTCTATGGTGATCTTCTGTTGAGTTCTTTTCCCTACTCTTTTGAAGATACGTTGCTGATTGATGTGCATATTCTTGTAGATCTGACTTATGTTACAAATCAGTTCTCTTCTTCCAAAACTATAGATCAATTCTTTCATTTCTTCTTCTCTATCTGACATTTTTGGAGTACCAATCCCTTTTGTACAGACAATCTTTGTTGTTTATATGATAACAGTTGAGACATAGGAAAGTTTTACAATAAAATGCCAACACCGTTCTTAGGGCCAGAGGGAAATAGTTGTACGTCAGCAACATTGGCCATTGGTTCGGAAATCGGAACTCGTTAGTCCTCATTTTTTGGTTCATCTTATTATGCATAAAGTACTCGTCACCGGAAGGTATTATTGTGTGTATGACGTTTACTTCTATTATTATCTGAGAATTTTGCTGTCCCATTCATTGACATTGGTTAATTCAGGCATCTGGTTCCTGACCTTGGTAGGAACCTGTGAGCGAACTGGTACTAGCCTCTTGCTGTAGATTAAAATTTATAGGCCTGTGTGGATCTGGCCATCTGGGTGGCGGGGGTGAGTAATTAACGAGAGGAGTAGGATTTTCTTATTAGGTGCAAAATTAGTGCATTTCTTAGTTCAGGCTCCGTGCATTTATCTTTAACTGCTTCTCTCCCTTCTGTCCGATTTGCCTATGTTGTTGCAGGTTGGCATCAGGTGGAAGCCAGGACGGATGCCGCAGTACAGGGGGGTCTCAAACCCATTGGTATGCAAGAATGCCAATTCATGAACGTGAAAGAGTGCCATCAAGGCACATGGCTATATCTCTCCGGCAATTATAGTTCAAGAGAATGCCGGGGTTGAAATTGGACTTCGTCCATTTCCTTCACCCTGTTAACAGATGATGTGGGTTCTCCATATCCTAATTGGGGTTGGACTCCAGGCTTGGTTTAATAATAAAAGGTGGATGAAAGCACAAAGTCTGCATTGGTTCAAACTGTGAAAGCCAACAGTCTTTAACCACGGAAAAGAAGAAAACCAAGCTAATAAGTGGCTTCCTAATTGTTGGCAAAGTAGCTCTTCGTCGCAGCTTCTTGCTAGCTATTAGCTATGGGTTTGCATGGCATGACATGACATGACATGACATGATGCTCTCTACACACAATTGACCTTGGATTTGGGACCAGGTGGGTATTGGAGTTGGGATCGATGCCAGTCTAATGGATGCTGCTGCGAATTCCTATTGACGTTGTGCCAGATATAACTCCGCCTGTGTATTAGGTTTCAATGCTTATGCCTTGCACAGCCGGTCCCAAGCCCGGATAAAGGAGGAGGGATGCTTGTCTTTTGTCTTCTGTTTGAAAAGTCGCTGCTCCATGTTGCTTAGTCGATTGGTGCAATCGTATGAAGCGTGTAAGAACCCTTACAAACTCCTCTCTTGGACTTGGGTTCGCAATTTGCATTATGGTAAATCAGATTAGATCGAAATAGGGGCCAAAATGTGTTAACCACTTGAGAGATCCTTGTAGCTTTCCATACGGGAAGAGTTTCCAGCCATGACAATTTATATGCATTGCTCTATGGTTCGTTTCATTTGAGGCAGTGGTACTGTAGAGCTCTTACTACCTTCACATTGTAATTGTAATCATATAAGGTGGTTAAATGGTTTGTTTAATTCAGGAGTTGCTCCTCACTCGAATATGCTCCAGCAAAAGAGCCTGTAAAATAATGAAAAGAGGGTACCTAGTGGGCGGAAATTGCTATTAAAGCTCTTTTTTCTTTTGCTTGTCTTGTCTTGTCCTTGTTCTTTCTCTTTTGCGTCTTGCTGGCGATTGTCTTATTTATCTTTGGAGGACAATGTAAGTTACTACAATTTTCTAGTTCATTCGTCACCGAAGTGGCCGTAAAGCTCTACCAAATAGTGGAGGGGGTCGGCAATGCTGAAAACCAAACATAGCAATGGCATCTTCAAGACCAAGAAGAGCGATTGGTCACTCCCAGCATTGTAAAATGGTTCGACCAATTTTCTCTGTCTTCTCTCTAGCCTCTAGTGTTCTTGACATTCAAGCTTTCCCGGGGCTGTCTTCGGCGCCGATTCCGACGACCGGGGGCGGCCCTTGCTTTTTCCTTTGGTTCTCGTTTGATTTCTTTTCCCTTTTCTGCATTTTGGTTTTCGGTCTCTTTTCCCTTGGCTCTGCCATTTTCCTTCCTTCCTCTTTTGGGATTTCCTTTCCATTCGGCTCCTCTTCCACCCTAGTGGTGATGATTTTCTTGCCTCTCAGTGAGATGCTTATGCTCTCCATCTGTCTGTTTTCTAGATCTGTATGGATGTTCCCCTGTTAGGTGTTTGAGGGGGCCGATTAGTCGGTTCGCTTGCTCCTCTTTGGTCTACCATTTACCTCCACAAGATCCATCCATAAATGGGGATGAATCGGAGATGCATGGACCATTGTTGTCTTGGATGTTTTTTCAGAGAGCTTGTGAGCATGGAAATTATCTTCGAAGTTGGTTTTCTGCCAATTTGCTCTGATCGGTGGTGATTCTGTCGTCATTCTTCTGTCTATGGTCGGGATTGTTTCTCGGGTTTGCTTGTTTTTGCAGGTGGATCTCGGATCCAGTTCTGGGTACAGTTCTCCTCGACGGCTCTGCGGTTTTCTTCTTCTGGCCGGTGCACCATCATTCTATGGAGTCGTCAGTGTTCGGAGTAGTGACTCTGCTTCCTCCATCGTTTCTCTGGCCAAGGACCATGTGTGGCAAAGGTTGAAGGCGGCGCTGGATCGGTGAAGGGGAATGTTGTTGGCAGCCTGCTTCTTGTGATGATTGGGCCGCTGGGTTAGGGTTGCTAGGGTGGGCTAGTCCAATTATTTGGACCGGGTTTGGGCTTTTTTGGCTTCGGACCTTTGTTGGCCCACTGTTAGCTCTCTTTTTCAGTTGGTTTTTTCCTTCGTTTCAGTGTTATTGTAACTCTGTACACTGTGTTTCGTACAATGAAACGACCAACCTAACGTTAAAAAAAATATGTAAAATGGTTTGAAGTATGTCAAAGTACAACAAGATAAAAAACTCCCACAATTGCTACTTGAAAAAGGTTAAAACCGTCGAATTTCAATGAGAGAATTGTGTAGCTAATGCTGAATCTCGTCGGACCGCGATTGAGGAAGAGAGAGAAACACAAAGGAACCATGAAGAAAAGATGCAAATTTTGATGGAAAAGCACAACAGACGATCTAAAAGAAAGCGACTGAAATGCATAACAGTGAGGATAGATATAAAGTATGAACGGAAAAAATCCATATATAAATTCTGGTAATTGATACAAATATTGTTTTTTTTTAATTTACCACCAATATGACGGTTTTAAAAGTATTAACACAAATATTGTGTATTTGTGTAGGTTAAAGATGGTGTCCGCCCGAGACTCAGGCGGGGCTGCTTTTTGAATTTTTTACCCGATTCACAGGCGGTGGCACCTGAGACTCAAGCGGCCCAGCCTTCTCCCTCCTTTTTTTTTACTTCCCTCGTCCGACGCCCCATATCTTATCTTCTTCTTCCTCTTTAACAAACCAACAACCACCCACCACTCCTCCCTCTTCTCGCTTGATCCCCAGCGCCCAATGTAGTTAAACTATAGTTTTTATGTATAAGCAAAATGATGGGTACAAACTTAAGCGTAAAAGCGGAGCGTAAGAACGTAAGTTTATATGAACCATTGAAATTGTAAAAAAGCAACTTAAAAGACTAATAGGATCCACACACAGAAAATTGGAAAAGATTTTGAACAAGAGTACATTCTAACTCAGAACAAGTTCATAAACATAGAAAAAGAGTTGAATCGTACGCTAATATGAATCATAACTCTGAAATATTCATATTATGGACATCACAAGCCCCCCAAAAAATTGATCATGATTTATGCTACATTTGGGCAGTAACGTCCACATTTCCATCCAAATCATATCATCTTAATTACCGCCATCATCATAGTTGTTATTGTCACTAACATCATGTTCCTCATAAATACATCAATCATCATTCATGTTAAAAGAATCATTTTGAAGCCAGCGGCATGATCACTTTAGTTTTTTCATCCACAAAAAATCATTTGACCATCGCACGACGTGCCAAATCGCTCCATAAACATTATCATTAAAAGCTCTTATAAGCGTCCTAAAAGCTAGCTTTTAAGGATTTTTTATGCACATATTGTGGTTTTAAAGAGTTTATATTAAGCTTATGGTGTCAAAAGATTTTTCAAAGAAAATTACTATATTGGAGGAGGTAAGAACTTAAAAGCGTAAGCTTTTAGGCTTAAACTATAGCTTTTAACTACATTGCCAGCGCCCACACAAGACAAAAAGGCGGTCTCGCATCGCCTCAAGCAGACACGCAGGAGACAGAAGCGGCCGCGCCTGAGTCCCAAGCGAGCCTCCCATCCCCTTTCTTCTCCCCTCACACTCGCACCCCTCCCAGCAGATCTTTTTTTTTTTTATTTGGGGAGAAGATGTTCGACGACGAGGAAGCAGTCGCCGACAGAGGAAGAGGGAGTGGGTGGCCAGGTCGTGGCGGCGGCGGGCAGTATCGTGGTGACGATCTCGCCGGCGGCGATTTTTTTTTTTTAATTGAGTTTTTATGTTTTGATTAATTTTTATTTTTGTTTTTTCAGTTCCTAGGCTTATGGACAGTTATTCCATGAAACCACTGTCTGCGACAATTGATCCAGCTCCGGTTGATTCAGTACTTTTTGGGGACATGGTCAACATCATGTCGACTCATTTTGGGCAAACGAGGTAAGTCTTTCATAACAACTACTTCTTTAAAGTGTATTAGCTAGTTAGATTAGACTAGGGTAAATGCCACATTTGGTCACTGGGATTACTAAATCATGTTATGTTTAGTCACTAGAAAAATTAATATCAATTTTGGTCACTCGAATTACTAAAACAGGTCACATTAAGTCACTATCCTGTTAGCCTCCATCCAACTCCGGTCACTCGATTTTTTTTTTATGAATGTCACTCGAATTACTGAAACATGTCACATTTAGTCACTCTCCGTTAGCCTCCGTCCAACTCCGTTAATGGAGTTGGACGGAAACTAACGGGGAAATGACTAAATGTGACATGTTCCAGTAATTCGAGTGACCAAAATTGATATTAATTTTTTCTAGTGACTAAACATGACATGATTTAGTAATCTTAGTATCCAAATGTGCATTTACCCGATTAGACTATTATAGATTTTTACTAGGTGAACTGAAATTAGAATAGAATTACGTATGAAATTTTTTGAAATTAGTATAAGTTTGGATTGTAAAATTAGAATTACACATGGAATTGAATCAATATAAGTTTTGTGCACTATAGGTTGGTGATCGACCTTACCATGTTCGAGGTACGACCAATTTAGTCACGTATCATGAACATTATCCAACGTATCTCGGAGAGGCGGGCTTGTCTAGTGTTCTGCCCCTGGTCCCTATGAATGCTGCTACAAGTTTGATTACTACGCTCGTAGAGCATGAGCGACCCGGGACGTCGACCTTCCACTTGCCATTTGGTGAGGTCACGATCACTTTAGAGGACGTTGTAACACTAGTCGATCTAGCGATCGACGATGATGCCGTCATAGTAGACATACCTTATGAGGAGTGGTCGGAGATCTGTGTGAGACTGTTAGGACGGGTTCCTGATGATCTTCCCGGCGGTGTCGTTTGGATTGGTTGGCTGAGGGATGAATTCAATCATCTGCCGGCAAATGCATCACGGGAGACTACAAAGCAGTTTGCACGAGATTATGCTCTATCTCTGATGGGAGGTGTACTGTTCCCGGATCGGTCTGGAGCTACGGTGCATCTACAATACCTACTTTTGGTGGAGGATTAGAAGAGAGTTGGACGATTCGCCTAGAGAGCAGATGTTTTAGCCTACCTATACCATGATATGGGTAGGTTGGTTTTGAACATTACGCATTCCTCTTCCATAGGAGGTGACCTTGGTGGATGGGTCCCTTTCTGTAGCTCTGGGCGTGGGAGCGATTTCCACATCTGGCACCGTGACATACAGAGATGAGGATACAGATTGCCGAGGATGCATTCCCACATGGTGTTTGATGGCTTTCGGCCAACACTCGTCAGTACGATGACCAGTTCTTCCAGTACAAGTTGTGGTTTGACGAGATGGAGACCATGGTGGTTAGTATATAACATTTCATTTATATAATAGTTTTCATTGATTTGTTTTAGATACAGGAGTAATCATGTGACCACTTTTTGTGTGTAGTGGCAACCTTACGTTGAGAGAGTACAACATCTCAGAGGTAGTGTGATCTAGTATGAGATGTTTCGAGCAGTAGTTCCATTGATATGCTTTTCAGCGGTGATGTGGCACAATCCAGACCGCGTGCTCTGGCAGTTTGACATGAGGCAGTATGAGCCTCATCCGCCACATAGTGAGGCTGAGGTTAGGTTTTCCTTCGCCAGCCTCATCGTGGGCCATCACGTGGGCAGCAGTTGGTACACGCCTCCAGAGAGTCGCTTGCTTTTTGGAACCGTCGACATGAGTTCATAGCGAGGATGCCATACAGTGAGGAGGCTTTAGCCTACCACTCGGAGCATATGGAGTGATATCGAGATATTACCAGATGTTCAGACACACGGAGATGAGTTGTAGTGGAGGCAGTGGTTGGTTATTGATTGTTTCATATTTTTGTTTGATTTGTTTTGAAATTTGTACCTGTGTGGAATCTCTAACATTTTAAATTTAATTTCAATACGACACTATGGAGTACGCTGAGTTTACGTGATGGAGTACGGGTTGGAGGAATGTCCACTGACCAAATGATGGAGTTGGCTAACATGATGGCATAAGGGGTTGATGCTTTACGTTTGGATGGGCGCCGACATCCTTATGTTATAGTACCTGTACAACGGTATCCTGATGAGCATAACATGGCCAGATGACTAGAGCGTACGGATCCGACACAGGACTAGGCCATCCTAGAGCTACAGTTCAGACAGGAGCCTTGGAGGTGTAGACAACTATGTGAGCATCACGATGTACCTAACCCAGTTAGGTTTTAGATCGACAACAAGCACAACCCGTTCGCCTTACTACGACCTTCCAGTTCATGCCGCAGTTTCAGCCGACACTTCTTCGGAATTTCAGGCAAACACTTCTTCGGGATTTCAGCAAGGGCTTCATTCAGCCTTTCATCATCCTCCTCTGCCGCAGTTTCAGCCTGAGACTTCTTAGAGATTTCAGCCACCAGACGATAGTTTCCATAAATCGCCGCAGCATGCTATGATGAGAGGCGGATACATGGCCTCAGGTAGTGATACTAGAGCCGCCTCACCGATGGGATGGACAGACACGCTTGAGGGGGATTCTACTTTCCAGGAATCGATGTGGTCTTATGACTAGCATATACGGGTGCAGGGAGTTGGAGGCGGTGCACAAGATGAGCATGGTTTGGTGTACTGTGAATGACCACTTCTGATTTGCGCTTCTGGCTCCAACCTCATCTTATCGAATTTCTCCAATAATCACCAACAAGTATGTTGCACAAGAGAAGTTATAGGAAGTGAACGAATACATTTGAAAACACCATTGATGCTCTCTGCCATGTTGGATGTCCGGATAGACCATCGACGCCCACCATTATAGTTATCATGTGCCAACGAAGTTGATGTTAGTCCACCCAGTTATCACAAGAAATATTTCTATCAGCGGCCATCTTCTTAAATTGCTCAACTTGACGATCGAACTTCTCCAAGCGTTTTTCTCCAGCTAATACAATAAATAACCACTCGAGTTAGATATATATATATATATATATATATATATATATATATATATATATCCATTACAAAATTAAATGAAATAAATAATACATAATAATAAATAACCATAACAATGAAGGCTTACCGACTCGTAAAAGTTGATTATACATAATCTTGTTTTTAGTCTTCCTTTGTAAGTTGCGTGCATAGTTTCGCATGCACCACCTCCACTCCCAAGTCCCAACCTCTTCTGATGTCACTCATGGCTTCATAGAGTCCTGCATGTCTATCTGAGATGATGCATACATCATTTTGATTAGTCAAACCTTGAACGTGTCTTATAAACCATGGCCAACTTTCAGTATTCTCGCTCTCCACTATAGCAAATGCAATTGGAAAAATCTTCTTCCGGCCATCAAATGAGCTCGCCATGGGTAACACTCCTTTATACTTTCCAGTAAGAAATGTTCCATCAGCAACCATGACTCCTGGACAATTATTGAATCCATCTATACAAGGTCCATAAGCCTAGAATACTCGCTGAAAGATCAAATGACTTGGTTGCGATGAAGGAACTCTTACCCAATCAATCACTAATGTTGGCATTTTTTTTAATGTTGGCATTTTCTCTTTACCACCGGCAAGAATGTTTGCAAATAATCGTAGGATTCTTTCCAATTTCTATGCAACTTCTTCAATGCTCTTTGTTTCCCATACCAAGCCTTCTTGTAAGTAACTTGCATATTAAACTTATCTTTCAACTAGGCCTGCACAGTTAGAACACTCAGATTTTGTTGGGCAAGTACCAAATGCTTCATGGACTCAGATATAACGTTGACATCAAGATGGCGATGATCCGTCGGTTGAGTCGTAATGCTACAAGAATGCACCAACTCGGCCTTTCTCACAATCCATTCGCTTCCAGCATCTCGATATCTAAACCACACCATCCAAGCACAATTGTCATCCTTGTGCTTCAAGCATATGACCTTCCAGATTGAAGGTGACGTCCCAACCATGACATACTAAAAGTTGCATTGTAGTGCGTAGTATTTAATCGCCACATGTGCAGCTTGTTTTGAGTGAAATATCTGTCCCTTGTAGAATTCTCCTTGAAAACCAACAACAATAGGCATTGGAATTACGCCATATGAATCAGAATATGATAATTCGTCGGATGCTTCATTACCCTACAAGTAAAAATATGGGGGATAATTAGACTGCTCTTCTTCTCCATCCTCCTCCTCATCATCCTCTTCTCCGTCATCATAGTCATGATCAGATGACACACTCCATGTCTCATCTTTTTCCTCTCCACCCTAATTCTCACTAATCTCAGCATGTACTTCAACACCAAAACAATAAGGATTTTGTGCCATAAAATTGAAAAGCACATTCAAGCTATCATCATCCACAATAGACATCACATAATGAAATATAACATCATTCTGCCATTCTGGAAGACAGTAAGTGAAACCTGTGATTGTATCACTATCT